TTTGTCTTCCGTTAAAGATGGCAGCTCTGCTACAGATTCAGCATTCCACCTTAACCCTTATCAATTAATGAGTTGCATTATATCTACAAGTCTGGGATATTGCAATATGGAGTGAGTTCAGTTATGCTGAAATAATTGTTTTTTGTTCGTACAAACAGGTGGTTGTGATATCCTTCAACCATGAGTTCCCCTAATACCCATGAAGATTTAGGAGTTGAGAGTCTTGAAGGAAACATAAAAAGTGGACTGAACTTGAATAGATGTTCAGAAAGGGAACCATCTCCACATGAGGAAGAAGGTGCCTCTGCAGGGTATCCAGAGCAACAAAGAGGTGAATGGATGCCATCACAGCACTACAGTGGTAATAGAGGAAGATTTCAACAGAGAGGTTCCAAGGGTCGATCGAGTTGGGGGAGTGCTTATTCAAAAGGAGGCTTTCAGCCTGACCATAGGAATTGGCAGAGTAATGGAAGAGATGCTGGTTATTACTCAGATGGCTATTATGTTGAAAATAGAAGTAGTGGAAGTTCCTGTGCACAGGAGCTCATTCGTCATTCATCTGCATCTGATACCATGTCAAATGTAGCTAAGAGGAAAGAGAAGCAGGCTTCAGGAATTATGCTGAATGGAAACAGAGATGAGGATGGTTATCTGGTAGTGTCTGCTGATGGAGGAGATTCCATGGAAGAGAGAGGTATCTCTGGAGATGATGGTGATGATTGGGGCTGGTTCCCAAGAGGAGGACCATCCCAAAGAAATCAAGGTAGATTCAAAAATCCCAGAGGTAGAGGAAGGCCTAGAGGACAGTCACAGTTCTTCAGGCCCCCTAGGAGGGGATTCACCCATAATTTTGAGCTCCATTCAAATCATTCCTTTCCTCAATGGCATCACCATGTTCCCCATGGTTATTCCCATGACCCAAGACGAGGCTATGGCAATAGTAGATTTAGAGGGAGAGCTGTGAGATCCCATTTCCATCCCCACCATAACTTTGAGAAGCCTCATTGCGAGAATTTTCCTCCGTGGCACCTCCATGATGATCATGACCTAAGTTATCATCATCACCATTATCATCATAATCATCAAAGTCATGGTTCTGCTTCATATGGAGAATGTCTCTCTAGAAAAAGTCAGTATATTTTCAGTGATAGTTTTAATCACTAGTCTGATGTAATATATTGATGACTAAGTTACATCTCCTAATAAATACTTCATTTTCTTGGTCAGGTATTCCAATGGAAGTACCAGTTCAGCAGCCACAGCAGGTGAGGGCTTTGATTTCCTGGTATTGGCATGTTGTCAGAATTAGTTACAGATGGATGGAGAATGTGAATTATGCAAACATAGAACATGGTCTGCAGGGTGGGAATAGTTTTCTTATGATTGACTGAACAGGTTATGTTGGATGAGGTTGGAAATGTATATTATTACTGATGCTGAGCTTAAATTCAATCCCCTTCACCCCCAAAAAAGAGAACTAAATAAGGTGTGGAAGTTTCATAGCCATAAAATAAAAATGTTTATAGTAGTGGCAAGTTATAGAGTTCTACCCAGAAATCTCAGAACAAAAAGTTGGGAATGAATGATCAAATTATACCCCATCTATACTGAAGCAGAGAACTAGGAAGTTATATGCTTTGAATGGGCTGAAGAAAATTAGAAATAATTGGGAATATTCATTCCACATTATTTCCTATGGGAGTGTGCATGTCATGCATAGGAGGTAAGAGGGACTTGAAAAACATGTTGTGTCAACTGGGTGAGGTGAACCTATTAAATGCAGCATCCTTCCCTGCCCTTCTGATTAGTGGTGCCCCTGATGTTCCTGTAGACTCTCCTTATGTTTTTATTTGAAAACAATTGCTTCATGGTTGCTATCCCCTGCTGTGAACATTTTTATTACTATTTGGTTCACTATTGCTTCATTATTGCGCCAAGGAAAAGATGGGCAATTGTTCCATGTGATGATAATGAATATTTTCCTTAATCAAGAGGGGTGTATGACTAGCCAAGGTTTGAGCTTTCAATCCAATTGTCTAGCATTGAACTCTGGAAGAAGGTTAATCACTATGTGAATGGGCTGTGAAGTAGGAACAATTTTCTCTTTCAGGATCCAAGAGAGTTGGAGAGAAAAGTCTTGAAAAAGGTTCTGGAAACTTCTGGATTAGAATTGCACATAAATGAGCTCTCTGCTCACTTGGAAATGCCTGTACCACAACTGAAAATATTCCTCAATGACCTCAATCAGTTTCTGATCTCAGAGGAAGACACAGTTTCACTGCAGATTGGCTTGAAGATATGTGAGGCATACCTTCTACCTGATGGATGTTCAGGTGACTGCAATGGTTTGCATATGTGCTACAAATATGTGGCCAAGAAGTGTTCTCGAGGCGACAGTTGTGAGGAAGGACACGACTTCAAGACGAACCACAATACCAAGATTCTTCGAAAATTTCATCTAGAAGATGCAGATTCCCAGTTACTGTTGAAGTTGATGCAATCCTCGGGGGATGTCGTTGTGGTTCCAGGAATTTGTGATTATTACAATGTTGGGGAATGTAAATATGGCAGTGGATGCACAAAAATGCATCTGTGTCTCAACTACATCTTGGGCACGTGCAATGATGGGTGCCAACTGAATCATGACATTTTGGAGTCACACTGTGAAAGGTTACTCAAGAATTCTGGAGTGAAGATGGATTCCTCAAGAAAGGATTTGAAGAATTTCTTGAAGAGAGAGTGGCAGAAAGAGCAAAAACTGGATGCAATTGCTGAGAGGAAAGAAAAGGCTGACCAGGAGAAACAAAGAAGGAGGCAGCTGGAAGAGGCTGCAAGGAGGAAGGTATTCCATGCTGATGAAGATGATGGTGAAGTGGAAGTTCCTGAGGTTTGTATCTTCCTTCTCAACGATCGATGTCTCGATGGAGAAAGAGGTCGCTGCAAGCGTTTACATGCTGGAACGCCTTACCATTGGCAAGTGAAGAATCCTGTTACCAATAAATGGATCAACTTGAGCAAGAACCAATCATTCAGACTTGAGCAGAATTTTGCTGATCCCTCTAAAGTCAAAGTCCAGCTTGACTCATTCACATCAGAGGAAGTGCACTTAACGAAACGGAGTCAACTCAGGAGCTTATTCCAGGATGAGTCATATGAAGTAGATTTCATAGGAATGAAGTTAAGAAACATGCAGACACAGGCAAGAATGGACATTCGAAGGCTTAGTACAGAATCACATGTCATGACTGGTGGAAAGAAGCACTCCACTATGTAAGTCACTTAATATCTCCAGGTGTTTAGGATGTGTTTGTGGAAAGGTTTTGTCTCCTTAGACATTTTATATTAAATGATTGGATTCTCTTATCAGTCTCAGAAGCACCATATCTCAAATTATATGAATAATTTCTAGTGAAAGTGAATTGAAGTGAATTATGGATGGAGTGATCATATTTAGAAAAAATTCTGTATATTGGAATACACCTTTATTCAAAACTTCTCTCATGACTTATCTATGTGTAATTATGCACTTTAGGTGGTTTGATATTAAAAATATCTGATGCTGGTCATTCAAAGAGGCTCATGTTGAAGTCCTCATTTTTCCTTCTATTCCTATTTGTGTTGATGCTGAATTAAATTTTTACTGATTTCATTTGACTCCATAGTTGGTGTTGGCACTTCCTTGACATATCGGGGAAGTGGATGGAATATGGTGCTACCACTGCTGAGCATAGTTCCTCCAGTGACCTGAAATCAGCTGACATAGAGAAGCAGTATTGTACTGCACAGGGAAATGGTCGCATCACCTTCAGTACAAACAAATTCAAATATGAAATCAACTTCCAAACAATGAAGCAGAAGAATCTGCAGGTGGGCTATGATAATCTCTGTTTTGTTAGCTTTATTTTTTAATCCAATCATTTCTTAGTTTATTCCCTACTTGAGTATGCCTTGTAACTGCTTATATGAATGTTCTCGGAGAAGAAATTTTTAGACACATTAATGGCAGAATATGTAAAGTGGGCTATTTTATCAGCATCACTCAGGAAATTCCCTCCATAGAATATAAACAATAATCACATCTTCTTGATTATGCCTCTGTGAGCAGTCCTTCCAGTCCATAAGGTGAAGTTCTTGCATGCTTGCAGTAAGTGAAAGTGGTTGTCTTTTTTAGGGTACTTAAAAACTTTCAATCTTTTGGGAACAATAAGCACTGCAGGGTGAAAGACTTGGGTTCTATTGAGAACGTCACTCCTGTTTGCCTTCAGACTCTTCCAGGAGGTCCAAGGTTCTGTTTGCAATGAGCACTGATGCATTACTATGATGCAGAGGAAAAGTTTCCTGTATGAAAACTTGGAAGCAGACCAGCCACTGTTTCAAAAGGCACAGCTATTACGCCTCCTTGGGATAAAAAGGGCTAACATTTAGGAAGGAGGGTGAGGGATTTAGGTCAATGTGTTCCTTCAATAGCACACACTTACTTGAGATTTAAGATTTTCAGCTGATTCCCATAGTGAGAAGCGTAATTGTTGAATGTGTAGGTGAGGAGGGGGGTCACTGAATGGAAATTTTAAGTTGCTTCATGAATTTGCCTGTTGCAATCTAACAAGACACTCACCCACTCATGCTGCTAATTGACTATTGGTAAGGGGAGGGGCTTCTATTTCAAAGAAGCCTTCCCCTGGGTGCAGTTCTCAGGCCTAGATGAAATTGCCGGTTGTATGACTTTCAGTAGTTTCCCAGATTGCTTAATGCTAAAATATAGTCTTGCGTTCAGTGTTTCCATGTATATTAGCATTTGCTAACCTTACAAAATTATTGTATTTTCCCAGACCAATAAACAGAGGGATATCCTGCGGCGTCCTGCTCCCCCTGATGGATCTAGCAATCAGGTGAATGTTCTCAAGTACCGTCATGTCCCATCCCACTGGGTCCCCATGCAAGAGACAGAAACTTGCAAGATGGTTCCTTTGGATCCTGGATCCCAAGAATACCTAAATGTAGCTGCCCTAATGCCTGGCTTTACTGTTCGGAAGATCACAAGAGTTCAGAATCCATATCTATGGGAGATGTATCAAAATAGGAGATTGGTCTTGTTGAAGAAGTACAATAATAATGCAGGAAGGGTAAATGAAAGGATCCTCTACCATGGCACTCCATCACAAAACATCCAATTCATCAGTGAACAGAACTTTGACTGGAGGTTGCATGGGATTGCTAATGGCTCAAGCTTTGGTCAAGGTGTATATTTTGCAGCAAATCCTCAGACATCTGCAGGGTATTCAAGACGTGGTGGTTGCATGTTTGCTGCAAAAGTCCTTGTGGGTTCTGCTACGGTTGGCAATAGTTCCATGACTCGCCCTCCAGCTGGCTTTGAATCTACCACTGATGGTAGTGGTACTGTGTTTGTGAAGTACCATGATCAGGACTATTATCCTGAGTACTTGGTGGAATTCTAATGTGTTATTCAAATGCCCTTTTTCCTTTATAAATATCCAGCACAAATACCAGTAAATATGTCTACATGAAGCAGGAGTGAATGTTCAGGATGAATTTAGGAAGAGACTTGTTTCCCAACATATCCTTGAGGATTTCTGTTTATCATGTATGTTATTGTTATGCAGTTTGAGCATTTTGAATGCCATGTGTTCAAGGACTGCAAGGGAAAGGTTGATTGCTATCATGAAAACCTGTGATTCTGATTTGCCTTACTCTGTGGGTGCTGAACTTCTGTGCTTTTTGGTGGGATCTAATTTTCTTTTCCTATTGCCTATCATTATGGTGGATGGCTCTTTTTCAGCAATCTTTGGAAGTTGCTTGTCTTTCATGTTTGTTCTTTTCAGTAAATTTTTTGCCATTCCTGTTTCCTGAGAGTAGAGTGACACCAGCAATGCAAGTCATGTTAAGGGTAGCACACATCCAAGGGGGCATGCCACAAGATGAATGGAGAACCTTTTACATCTTCCTGTGTGGCATATTGAAGTGCTCATAATGCAATGGGTACTCACAGGTCGTAAGAGCATGAGGAAGCTACCATATTTTTTCTCATTTTTTTCTCCAATCTCAAGAAATGTCCAAAAAACACATTTTTAGTGCTATCAGGAATGTGCAATGATATTGTATGATAATTATACTAATCCTTGAGGATTTTCTCAAAATTTGTGGGGGGGTTGGGCAATGCTAAAAAAAAAGAAGAGAAAAAAAGAATTCCATTGCTTCAACCTTAATTTTTTTTTTTCTATTTCCAGATCACTTAGAGGTCCAACCAAAATTCAGGTTTTCACTGAAAGCAACTGCTGTGTATGGGAAATGCAGTTGAATAAGTAATTTATGATTTCTCAAACTGTCAATTCTGGCAGCAGGAGTGTTACTGGGCATATAATTTTGGCATCTTAAAAACCACCCCTTTTGGGAAAGGTACTTTGGTGGAAGTTTGTCCTTAAAGATGGGAAGAACCCATGTGGATCTTTTGATTCTATATGCAGTCAGTCCTCAACTAGTGTTCTCTTAGCTGTAATTTTTATAAATTCACTAGTGTTACCTGCCAATTAGGCAAGGAATTGCATGTCCTGAGGGGCTATGTTTACAGTGTTTCATTTTAGACCCTAGATGATTTTGATACGAGTTGAATTATGCAGCTGCTTTGATTTCTCTGATTCCATCAACAGAGAGAGATGCACATTGAAAAATGTAGTCAGAAATTTTATTGCCATTTATTGTCACCACCTATTCATGTTTCGTGGAGATGCATTGGGAAGGATGTTCTAATAATTATTTGCAAGTTGGATATCATGGAGTTAATTTAAGTTGTTATATTTGGTTTTTCCTGCACAAGTATGTATTACCAGGAAGAGAATTGCTTCAATCTATTCTGCCTCTGCTATGCTCCAGTGAATTCTTTTATTGAGAGTGATAGTGCATCTGGTATTATCTTCATTTCGGCTGTGATGGCGTTTCTTGCCTCATGGGTGATACAGTGTCAGTGCATTTTGAGCAAATTATTACAAATGATCCTGCTGGATTGCTTGAGTTGTGTGATACATCTTGTGATATTGTGATAGGATGTGAGGACTTATTTTTTTTTAAACTTGAATAAATGTTTGAGTAAATTCAGGATGCATGAGTTTTATTACTATCAATTGCTCTTATTTGCCACTTCGTACAAATTAAAAACATTATGGGAATACGATTTCAGTGAACGTGGATCTTAACCTGGAGAAATAGAAGTTGTTCCATAGAAAGTTTTGCACCATATTCGATAGGATTTTTCGTTTAGAATTGTCTCTGCGGAACCTGGGCATCTGCCATGCCGAATGAGGGCTTCGACGTTCCACCGAGAGGTTTCCAATTCGGTTGTCATGGTCTGACTGTGGGCTGCATTCGCTTAGTGACTCACTTGGAGATGAAGTACTCAAGCGCGATAACGTCAGGGCAACATGTCGCCCAGCGTGGGATTCGCTCGTGAGGATGAGCGACCTCGCGGGTGACTCTCCAGGTTTAGATGTTTCCGGGGGGTCGATAGGCGCTGAACAAGCGGAAACCCAGGTTAGAAGAGTAGAAAAGGTTGGGCTACATCCCAGCGGGGGGGCTCGAGAGCCAATGACGTCACTGGTATGCACTCTCCTCGGCTGACTGATAAAATCTCCTTTTTCTAGTCTATTTCTCCTCTGTTAAAAATGTCATATCGGCTAGTTTTTTCTTGCCATATTACCTTGCTCTTTGCACCTCCATTCTATTGCGCTTAAACGATTGCATCTCTAGATTGTGGTGCTGCCAGGATCATGGCATTCGCAGATGCCGGTACTACGTGCAGTCACCGCCTGCAAGAACATCTGATGATTTTGGAGCCGATGGAGAGAAATGTTCCTTTCATCGTTTCAAAGGAACTTGGATAGTTAAAGACCTAAGTGATGCGGTGCAAACGCGCGAAAAATGAAATCCCTGAAGTAGACTGAGGGAGGGACCCCAAAGCAACCCTTTGGGGTCGACTGTCATCTTTCGCCGAGATGATCCAATAGAAATTCTAAGTCGACCATCGAGTATCCCGAATATTTGTAAGAACCTGGATTCTCTTAATAAATTCTGAGTTGCTCAGCGAGGACAAGAAAGTGAGGAAGAAACGGAAGTCTCTCGTTGAAGTTTGTGAGGAGGAACATCTTCACGGTGTTCGTGAAAATCACGCGATTTGCCCCGACCATGACAAACGAGCTCCTTTCCCCAGGTTTTGGGATAGACCCCGATAACACGTTACGTTGGGCCCACGTCGGGTAAAGGTGGGAAACGTTGGCGGAACGTGCATGTTGGGGAACGATGTTGGCCCAACGTGGGCAAATTGGTCATACGTGTAGCTTTGTCTTCCGTTAAAGATGGCAGCTCCCATGATCATGAAGCTGGAGGCCTCGTGGCTGTGCAGTCTAAGTTGATGTCTTCTGTTAAAGATTCGTTGTACAGTACAGTGTTAAAGGTACCTGTGTTACCACAGAAATAACATGAGTTTGCATATAAGAGTTGCTAACAATGTGAAATTTACACCTTGGCCCATGTTCTATGGAGTTACTGCAGTCTTTTCGCAGTGAGTTCACATACTGTTCAATGCTAAGTCTTTATGGTCCTACCGACACCAGCAGAACTAAAGTTTCGTTTGGTCTTACGAATAACATGACCTGGTATTTGTTGGTTTTAGAGTCATAATACCAGTTGTGTCAGTGCCCTAATGGAGGTTGTGTTGAACTCATTGTAAAACCTCTGTAGGGTTGCCTTTTGTGGTTAACGGCCTACATTGGCCAATACAATTGGAGCATTTTCTTGGGCTTGCTTATAGCAGTTGAATTTAGAACTCAAAGTTGGGTCCTGCCATGCTTCACAGTGGGCTTAGCCTGGTGGTGTAAAAGTAAGCCCCAATTGTGTCCATTTAACAAGAAAGCCAAAATTCATCTCACCATTTACAGTGTGTGGTCAACCTTCACAGCTTACAGATTCCTTTATGGCTCCCATTGCTGTATTTCATGTTGCTTGAACTGATTTTTGTAACAATCTAGCCTAATGCTTTACATTTTCTTCCCTTGTCATTTGCTACAAGAGCAATGGCTGCAGAACACCATTGTCTATGTATTGTCATAAGTGTTCTTTTTTTTACAGTGTAGAGTCTGTAAGGAATGACAGGCAATGTTTAGGCAGTGCCCTCATTTTATGTGGTGGAGTTTCTTCCAGACAGTAATGGAGAAATTGAAGTTGCTGTTGTTTTATCAACATGGATGAATGGAAATGAGATGGAGGTAGCTTGGCCACCATGTAAGACTGACAGAAACCTCAATGAGGCTTTGACTCTTCATCATCTCCCAGCTGATGACTGGTAGTGGTACGGTTGTCGTCGCATCTTGTATGCTACAGGTTAGTTGCTTAATGAAACTTTGATATTTGGGTTTACCTTTGAACCTGAAGTTGCTTTCTCTTTTCCAGCCAGCTTGGAACAAGCACGGAAAAAAGCAAAACTAGCTGAGGATACATCTGGTCTGGAGACTGGTGATGAAATGGAAGAAAAGGAAAGACAAAGATAACGTGCCAAAAACTCAGAAGTTGCTGTGTTCATCCAGAAAATGAAACAAGATTTGCACAGGCAGGTTCCATCAGTTGGAGAGTCATCAGGTGGGAGTTCAGATGCAGTAACTATTTTGAGCAGGGACCTACCATATCCTCCAAGACCCCCCCGTGTAGAATTACAAGAGAACCCGATGCCACATGGTTCTTCAAACTTTCTTCATTCCCCTTCATTTTCTCAGAGTATGCTCTCTTCATTTCTCTGAGTCCCTGGTCTCCAGTTTTGTCATATAAAACTCATATGGAGACAAGGCTCAAGAAAAACAGCTATCAGTCTCTCCATTAGGTGTGAAACATCCCCATCAATCTTCTTCATGCAGATGTCAGGAGGACCACCTAACCTATACTCGTAAGTAGACTTCAGTATTATACCCTTTCAAAAATAACCCCTACCTGTGGAAAAGAAGTACATTGGATGGAACCTTCCATCTTTTTTTTTGTTTGGCCGTTGAAACTCCTGCACAGGTTCTTGTATTTTGCATATTGAATTAAAAAAGATAGAGAGGGCTTTCCCATTAAATAACATTTGCATGATCATTGAATAATTTCAGAGCAATGAATGAGAAAAGAAGCCATATTCTCTCACGAGGCTGTGGAAGGGTACCTTTTTTATGAAATGGTTTACTATATCATTATTTTCTATATGGCATTCAGACTGCATCCATTCAACTAGAAATTGATTCCTGAATTGGCAAAGGGGATTATGCTCTTGAAAATAAGAGATCTTCATTAGTTTGTCTTCATTTATATATTTATTCTGTTTATGCAAATGAAATTAATGGCTGTGGTTATATGCTCTGTGGAGAACTCTCTTTGGAGTACAACTGTGAATGAACGCTATCAATTGGAATGAAGTTTGATTAGGTTTTTTCATAAGAATATATGCTTGGAGTTACTTTTTCATAACCAGGAGAAATTTTTTTCCCATTTAATTTAAGTGAACAATTTGGGACATAATTGATATTATTCATTTTAATCCCTTTTTTCTTACATTTCCATTTGTTTTCTTGTGCCATGCACAGAATAAGTTACTACAGGTTCATTCTTGATTTCAGCTTTCCAGGAGTTGATAATCTGAAAGCTGGAAGAAATCAATCAGCGGGTGATCTTGATGGAAAAAAACCAACAAACACGAAGCAATCTTGAGGTGTCACCAATGGTAATGACTACACAAGACCTGCCCATGCAAATTCCCCTGAATTCCCTGATGATCTTCAACTCTATGAAGAACTGTTGAGTGCAGATCACACTGCTCGTGCTGACTTGGTTAGCATTTTATATTTATCTTTTTTTTATGACATCCTCCCTGTTCTTATTGCTGTTGCAAAGATCCTTTAAAAGTGAAAATTTGCCAATAGAAAATATTTCCCAATATCCCATAGGCCCATGGGTATCAAGTGTTTTCTCTTGTAACCAAGATCTTATAAACTGCTATTGGTGTCTTCCCATCTGAAGTAAGTTTAAGCTCCAAAAAGAAAGTATTGTTGACATTAGTCTTAGGTCAATGACACCATGACCTTTGGTGCATCTTTGTGGCGAAAATATATTTTCCTAATTAAGTAAGGATTGAAGTACTGCTTTTTTTTTCAACCTGATTTGGCATTTGGGCTGCATCAACATGACATTCCTTACAGGGGTGGTCATGCTTCCTTGTCTTATGCTGGATTCAATGAGCAAAAGTAGTTATTATGGATATTCCACATGGGATATCTCCCCTTTCATTTTTTGTGCTTATGCATCTCCCTTCTGCTTTCCCCATGGGACACAACACCATTCCTGAAGTATTCAAAATGTTCAAAAAAGGGAATGGCTAGTATGTTCATTCTTTATTCCCTTAGTGTCTTAGCCCAATGTTCATCCTTGGTGCCAAGTTACCTAGTGAAATATCTCCTAGCCTCATACTGATGATTAGGTCACTTAGAATATTTGGAGACTACTTACATTGGTTCACCCATCAAACCTGATGCCAATCAATTTTTTTTTTTAGCAATAGCCTAAAACAGGGGTGCACAACTCAAATTATTGTGAGGGCCTTTTCCAATTTTTACTCACCTACCACTGGCTGTAGTCTGGCTGACCATAGCTGTAGTCAAAAGGGTGGGAGACATAGTGGCACTTCCAATGCTACCAGTCACTGCAGGCCACAAACAAGGGCCTTGCGGGCTGCTTGTGGCCTGCAGGCCATATGTTGTGCACCCCTGGCCTTATTAGGCCAGGGGTGCACAACATATTAATCACATCAATATCAATATTAACATTCCTTCTGAAAAGCATTTATGACTATGTTCAGAGTGTCAACTTTCCATTTTGTGTTCATGCCATAGGTTTCATACTTGTGTGGTATTGGAGGCAAAGATGGTAAGGAGAGCATCATCCACATGGTGAAGGCCCTTATTAGCAAGGATGTAGCCCAGGAATATTCTTTTCTTGGAAAGAAAGGAAAGAAGTGCTTCAAGGAACTAATGATCTGCAAGTCGATCACAGGTTGGTAAACAATAGGTTGTTTCTTATCCATAGCATGTCTCATAACTGGAAAACAAGACATATATCATACTCTGATATTTTCTAAGAGGTCATTACAATTTATTCAATTTAATTCCAGGTATTTCCTGAATGCATGCAAGAATATCAGTGAGTAAAGGGCTCAGTCATAAAATTTTAATTGACTATCCCCCTCTCCCCCAATTTTTCAGTGTAACAACATTAAGTCAGAAAGGTGCTATGTATGATGTGAATGTTTTGCTTTGGAATTTATTTTTTTAAGTGCTAATTTGCTGCCAAGGTTATATTCATAGTTATATCCAAGCAGACTGGGATTTGATTTTGAAACTTATATGTGGGTTCTGTTTCCATCATCCTTGAATTTTTTGTATTCCTTTTCCTTTTCAAGTTGCTGCAAAGAAGCTGGCATTGACTGAGAAGGAAGTAAGCAGTGTTGTGGGGAACTCTCTTCTCCCGAGACTGGAATGGAGGAAGACATTCACGGAGAATCCTCTAAGAAGAATATTTTTTTGTTCGATTGATGGATATCTGTGCTATAAGATTTTTTGTAGGACCATTCTTGAAGCCCCCAGAAAAGTTTATATGATGACACTTTTGTTGGTCCTCATATTTCTCTTTTTTATGTTGAATTTTGAGAATTATCTTTGTTATTTATGCTTGTTTTTTGTTTAATTATATTTTTGCATTCAAATGCTTGTGTTTCTCTTTTCTGATTTTCATGGAGTGCCACTGTATTTTTTGCTTTGGGGAAATTATTAAGCGCTTCAGTTTGAAATGTTTTAAGAGGCATTCCAATTCCATGTTTTGTAATTGATGAACCACAGCCTGATGCGATGGGAGGATTCAGGCATCCTCTGAATCTGCATCTATAGTTCTACAGTGTGTGGTCAACCTTCACAGCTTACAGATTCCTTTATGGCTCCCATTGCTGTATTTCATGTTGCTTGAACTGATTTTTGTAACAATCTAGCCTAATGCTTTACATTTTCTTCCCTTGTCATTTGCTACAAGAGCAATGGCTGCAGAACACCATTGCCTATGTATTGTCAAAAGTGTTCTTTTTTTTTTACAGAGTAGAGTCTGTAAGGAATGACAGGCAATGTTCAGGCAGTGCCCTCATTTTATGTGGTGGAGTTTCTTCCAGACAGTAATGGGGAAATTGAAGTTGCTGTTGTTTCATCAACATGGATGAATGGAAATGAGATGGAGGTAGCTTGGCCACCATGTAAGACTGACAGAAACCTCAATGAGGCTTTGACTCTTCATCATCTCCCAGCTGATGACTGGCAGTGGTACAGTTGTTGTCGCATCTTGTTAGTTGCTTAATGAAACTTTGATAATGAAACTTGGGTTTACCTTTGAAACTGAAGTTGCTTTCTCTTTTCCAGCCAGCTTGGAACAAGCACAGAAAAAAGCGAAACTATCTGGTCTGGAGAATGGTGATGAATTGGAAGAAAAGGAAAGATGAAGATAACATGCCAAAAACTCAGAAGTTGCTGTGTTCATCCAGGAAATGAAGGAGGTGTCACCAATGGTAATGACTACACAAGACCTGCCCATGCTAATTCCCCTGAACACATTAGATGATCTTCAACTCTATGAAGAACTGTTGAGTGCAGATCACACTGCTTGTGCTGACTTGGTTAGCATTTTATATTTATCTCTTTTTTTTAATGACATCCTCCCTGTTCTTATTGCTGTTGCAAAGATCCTTTAAAAGTGAAAAATTACCAATAGAAAATATTTCCCAATATCTCATAGGCCCATGGGTATCTAGCGTTGTCTCTTGTAACCAAAATCTTATAAACTGTTATTGGTGTCTTCCCATCTGAAGTAAGTTTAAGCTCCAAAAAGAAAGTATTGTTGACATTAGTCTTAGGTCAATGACACCATGACCTTTGTGCATCATTGTGGCAAAAATATATTTTCCTAATTAAGTAAGGATTGAAGTACTGCTTTTTTTTCAACCTGATTTGGCATTTGGGCTGTATCAACATGACATTTCTTGCAGGGGTGGTCATGCTTCCTTGTCTTATGCTGGATTCAATGAGCAAAAGTAGTTATGGATATTCCACATGGGATATCTCCCCTTTCATTTTTTGTGCTTATGCATCTCCCTATTTCTGCTTTCCCCATGGGACACAACACCATTCCTGAAGTATTCAAAATGTTCAAAAAAGGGAATGGCTAGTATGTTCATTCTTTATTCCCTTAATGTCTTTGCCCAATGTTCATCCTTGGTGCCAAGTTACCTAGTGAAATATCTCCTAGCCTCATCCTGATGATTAGGTCACTTAGAATATTGGAAGACTACTTGCATTGGTTCACTCATCAAACCTGATGCCAATCAATTTTTTTTTTAGCAATAGCCTAAAACAGGGGTGCACAACTCAAATTATTATGAGGGCCTTTTCCAATTTTTACTCACCTACCGCAGGCTGCAGTCTGGCCGACCATAGCTGTAGTCAAAAGGGTGGGAGACATAGTGGCACTTCCAATGCCACCAGTCACTGCAGGCCACAAACAAGGGCCTTGCAGGCTGCATGTGGCCTGCAGGCCATATGTTGTGCACCCCTGGCCTAATACATCAATATTAACATTCCTTCTGAAAAGCATTTATGACTATGTTCAGAGTGTCAACTTTCCATTTTGTGTTCATGCCATAGGTTTCATACTTGCGTGGTATTGGAGGCAAAGATGGTAAGGAGAGCATCATCCACATGGTGAAGGCCCTTATTAGCAAGAATGTAGCCCAGGAATATTCTTTTCTTGGAAAGAAAGGAAAGAAGTGCTTCAAGGAACTAATGATCTGCAAGTAGATCACAGGTTGGTAAACAATAGGTTGTTTCTTATCCATAGCATGTCTCATAACTGGAAAACAAGACATATATCATACTCTGATATTTTCTAAGAGGTCATTGCAATTTATTCAATTTAATTCCAGGTATTTCCTGAATGCATGCAAGAATATCAGTGAGGAAAGGGCTCAGTCATAACATTTTAATTGACTATCCCCCTCTCCCCCAATTTTCCAGTGTAATGACATTAAGTCAGAAAGGTGCTATGTATGATGTGAATGTTTTGCTTTGGAATTTATTTTTTTAAGTGCTAATTTGCTGCCAAGGTTATATTCATAGTTAATTCCAAGCAGACTGGGATTTGATTTTGAAACTTATATGTGGATTTTGTTTCCATCATCCTTGAATTTTTTGTATTCCTTTTCCTTTTCAAGTTGCTGCAAAGAAGCTGGCATTGACTGAGAAGGAAGTAAGCAGTGTTGTGGGGAACTCTCTTCACTTCTCCCGAGACTGGAATGGAGGAAGAGGTTTACGGAGAATCCTCTAAGAAGAAAAATTTTTTGTTTGATTGACGGGTATCTGTGCTAGAAGGTTTTTTGTAGGACCATTCTTGAAGCCCCAGAAAAATTTATATGATGACATTTTTGTTGGTCCTCATATTTCTCTTTTTTATGTTGAATTTTGAGAATTATCTTTGTTATTTATGCTTGTTTTTTGTTTAATTATATTTTTGCATTCAAATACTTGTGTTTCTCTTTTCTGGTTTTCATGGAGTGCCACTGTATTTTTTGCTTTGAAGAAATTATTAAGCGCTTCAGTTTGAAATGTTTTAAGAGGCATTCCAATTCCATATTTTGTAATTGATGAACCACAGTCTGATGTGATGGGAGGATTCAGGCATCCTCTGAATCTGCATCTATAGTTCTAGCTGACGATTGATGAGCTATGCCTCCACTTATTCTGACATTTGGCCCTCTAAAAAGCAATGTGGACCTAACTTGAAGAAGAAACACC